TCGTGACGTCCGGGACTGAGCACGCGCTCCTCCCTGCCTTCACTCGGAAGGAGACATTCGCCTTTTCCTTTATTCTATTTATTTGAAGGTGAGAAGTCAGGATTTATTGATTGGACAGAGAAGCTCCCACGGTGGGAGGGGACCCGCAGGGGTTGCCCCCTTGTTATTTTATTTTTTGAATTGGTGTCTCTACTGTCGCCCAAGCTGGAGAACAGGGGCACACTCACAGCCACCGCAGCCTCGACCTGCTGGGCTCAGGTGATCCTTCCGCCTCAGCCTTCCGAGTAATCGGAGCTACAGGCACATGTCACCACACCCGGCTAATTTTTTCTTGATTTGTTGTAGGAATGAGATCTCACCAAGTTGCCCGGGCTGGTTTCAAACCCGCGGACTCAGGCAATCCTCTCACCTCGGCCTCCCAAAGTGCTGGGATTATAGGCGTGAGCCACCACCCCTGGCCCGCCTTTTACTTTTGGAGACAGGGTCTCACTCTGTCGCCCAGGCTGGAGTGCAGTAGCACGATCATGGCTCACTGCAGCCTCGACTTCCTGGGTTCAGGTGATCCTCACACCTCAGCCTCTTGAATAGCTGGGACTACAGACACGCACCACCATGCCCGGCTAATTTTTTGTAGAGACAGGGTCTTGCCCAGGCTGGTCTCAAACTCCTGGTCTCAAGAGATCCTTGCATCTCTGCCTCCCAACATGCTGGGATTACCGAGTGAGCCAGCGTGAAGGGGGTCACTCTTCTCATACCACCTACAACCTGTTTCAGATCAAGCCCGTTGTGGCCTGCTGGCCCCATCAACGTAGACGGGTGGTGTCCTCCCCAGACACTGCACACCCCGGTTGGTTTTGGTCAGCACAAGATTGCTCAAAGATTCCAAGCTTTCGCAGGTGGTCTCATCCAGGCTTTGGAACACCTGCAACCATTCACCCCTGATCCTAAATACTGTCCCTTGCAATGCCCTGAATTAACACCGGCTCAGTGGCCTCTGCTTCTTAGGCTGCAGGCCCAGGAAACCGACTGCCTTTCTTTCTTTTTTTTTTTTTTT